AAAGCCAGGGGGTCTGTCCAGAAGGGAAGAAGCATCCAGGCTTGGGGATGGCCTGCAGCCTAGAGCACCACCCTCTGGGCGCCCAGCTGGGAGACTCAGGGAAGACCAGTTGCAGGGCTCTGGGCTGAGCTGCAGGGCTGGGACTACTCTTCCCCGTGTCTCTGCCCTCATGGACACCTCTATGAAGCAAGACTTGCCAGCAACACCTGGGTCTGGTCAGGCTCAGAGCCTCTCAGATGGCGGTGGGCCTGGCTTGCAGCAGAGTGGTGCGCCCCGGTGTAATGGCATCAGGCAGACTGTGCCTCCTGGGTCTGCCTCATCTAGGAACTCCAGCAGTCATTCTAACTTTCCACCTAAAATGGCAGCCCCAGGACAGGCCCCAAAACCAGCTCCCAGGAGAGCTGACATCTCAGAATTGCCCAGGATACCAAAGATCCACAGGGACAATGGTGGCAGCAGACAGGACACAACCCCAGCCCACGGACAGAGCGTTGAGATCCCCAGCACCTGCATCAGCCGCCTGACGGGCAGGGAGGGCCCCGGGCAGCCAGGACAAGGCCGGGCAGAGGGTGAGCCCAGCAGCAGGGGTCCCCAGGAGCCCAGCTCCCACACGGGTGGCTCCCGGCCTCCTGCCCCCAGCTCTCATAGCAGCTTGGCCCCACTGGGGACTTCAAGAGGGAAAGGTGTTGGGTCTACCTTTGAGAGCTTCCGGATCAACATCCCAGGGAATACAGCACAGTGCAGCCGGCTTCCCAGCCCTGGCTTCTGTAACACCTTCCGGCCTGTTGATAGCAAGGTGCAGAGGAAGGAGAGCCCTTCACCCCTCTTCTCCATCAAGAAGACCAAGCAGCTCAAGAGTGAGATCTACGATCCCTTTGACCCCACAGGCTCTGACTCAAGCCCTCCCAGCAGTAGCCCTGAGAGTCTTGGCCCTGGCCTTCTGCCTTCTGAGATTACAAGAACCATCTCCATTCACAGCCCCAAGGCCCCTTCGTTTCAGGCTGTGCGCTGTGTCACCTCCTACACTGTGGAGGGCATCTTCAGGGCGGAGCCCGAGTCCCCTGGTGAGACTGCATCCCGCATGTGTAAGCTCCGGGCTAAGGACGCCGCCCAGGGCACCTCTGACACAGAGCAAGAAGAGCTGGGGGAGGAGGAGCCCGTGGAAAGCCGGGGCCTGGCCCCTCGGGGACAGAGGCCATCCCTGCTGGACCCTTGGGAAGATGAAGACGAGGCATCTCACAGTACTTTCTTCAGCTCCGAGGAACGGACAGTGACCTGTGTGACTGTTGTAGAACCAAACAGCCCACCCAGCCCGGACGCACCACAGGCCACCACCCACAGGATTGTGGAGCTGCGGGCCCCCTCCCGTTCCCGCTCCCACTCCCGCTCTAGCTCTCGGGGCAGGAAAAAAGCCAAGAAGAAGAGAGCCAGGGAGCACCGGCGGTCACGCTCCAGGACGCGCTCAGGCTCCAGGGACAGGGCCTCCCACTCGGTGTCACCAGCAGTGGATGAGCCCTCCAGAAGGCGCCGGGCCAGAGCCAAAGGCCGGAGGTCTTCCAGTGACCAAGCCAGCAGCCAGGAGAGAGCAAAGCGGAGAAAGACCAAGGACCGGGACAAGGATCGGAGATGGAGCTCGTGGGGCCGGGACCGGAGGAGCTCCAGGTCACGCTCGGGCAGCCCGGGCAGCTCCTCCTGTGAGCACCGTGAGAGCAGAAGGAGGAAAAGGCACCGATCAAGGTCCCGCTCTCGGGGGCGGGACTGTTCCCCCTTTAGCAGCCTGGAAAGGGGCCGGCGGCACAAGCAGCTACGGGAGAGGAGCCGCGAGCGACTGGACAGGAAGGAGAGCATAGCCCAGCCTCGAGAGAGGAGAAAGTGGAGATCCCGCTCACCCAGCTATGAGCACAAGGCGCGGGAGCCCCAGTGGCCAAGTGCCCATGAGGTGCAGCTCCACTCCCCGGAGAAAAAGGGGACTTTGAAGGAACCCTCCCCAGAGCCCCCTTCCCAAGGGAATCCAAAGCAGGATGGAGACCTCCAGGGCGGGCCGCCAACCCTTCCGGAAATGTGCTTAATACCCAAGGTGGCCCAGGCTGAGCAGGCCGTCCTTTCCCCTACCCCTGTCCCCATCCTGGTCCCTGAGGTGCCACCCCAGTGTGCCCCTGAGGACCTTGATTATGGCGACTCCGTCGAGGCGGGCCACATCTTTGAGGACTTTTCAAGTGAAGCTATCTTCATGCAGTTGGATGACATGAGCTCACCTCCTTCCCCGGAGAGTACAGATTCCTCCCCAGAGCGAGCCCTCCCTCCAAACCCCCCATTGCCTCAGACTGGCCTGCCGCATGATACAACCCTATGCACCATCCAGAGGGAGATGTCACTGATCCATGCTGAGGGCATTTCACAGCCCCCATTTCAGGCAGAGGGTCTTCCAGGGCAGCACCCACCCAGTCAGGATGCAGCAGAGATGGCTGCCATATATCCTGGCCCCCTGGGTGTGCTGACCAAGGGCTTGGATGACCCCTTGGCTAGTGGGAGGGCTCCTGAGACAGCCAGGCCCGAGGAGGTGGGGGCACAGGCACCACTGCTGCGGTCCCGAGCCCTGGTGAAGAGGGTCACCTGGAACCTTGAGGAGGCTGAGGGCAGCACCCTAGCTCTGGACAGGGCCCCAAGTGAGTACATCCTTCCAGGGACTGCTGGTTGCTGGGGGTCCCTGTGGGCTAGGGCCGGGAAGCAGCCACCCCAAAAGCTCCTACTTCCCCTGGCTCCACCCTGAGCCCAGCTCCTTGGCCTGTGGGCCCCTGGGCTGGGACGCTTTCCTGGGATTTTCCATCCAGCAGGCAGCATTCTGGCCAGGGCCAGGCATAGGGCCCTGACCTTCCTGTCTGTCGAACCCTCAGGGACATCACTTCATAAGCCGCAAAAGCCCTGGGAAGGGACCTGGGACACAGAGGATGGCACCCCTGTGGAGGCCAAGCATGCACTGTTCTCTGAGCCACCGCCTTGTGGTCAGGTGCTTCTGGAGTCTGGGTTCCCTGGCATGGACCCTTCTCAGGTGGGTGCTGGGCTTTAGCTGCCCTCAGGGCATCATGACCTTTTGGCCCAGACCCATGGGTTTCAGGAGTGGGGCTGCTGTGGGGCCTGCACTTACAGGGTTGTCCTTCTCAGGTTTACAGCCCCAACATGCCTCCTGCCCCGGCTCAGCCCTCTGGTGTCCCACCCTTTGTGCTGGTCAGCCAACCTTCGGTCCAGTTCCTCCTGCAGGGCAGTGTGCCCTTGGTGGGCTGTGGACCAGCACAGAGTTTGACCCCAGTGCCCGCCACGCTGGCCACAGCCTCGGAGCCAGCCAGCCAGGCCACCAACAACAACTCAGAAGAGAAAACCGCCCTTCCCAGGCCGGTTGCAGAGAAAACCAAGAAGGAGGAGGTGAGTGTGCCCTGGCCCGTCTCACTTTGAGGCCTGAGGTGGTGGTTTTGCTTTGTTGGGGGCCATCAGTGGGGCTTAGACCACTAAGCCACAGCCCAGCCCAAAGTACAGTGGTAGAAAGTGCTGTTGCCCTCGGTGCTCCTGGTGTGGAGGTGGCCAGGACCGCGGGCCCCAGCATGGGTTTATCCTGGCTGTCCCAGCCCCAGTCACACTTCTGTCGTCACTCGTAGTACATGAAGAAGCTGCATATGCAGGAGCGGGCAGTGGAGGAGGTGAAGCTGGCCATCAAGCCCTTCTACCAGAAGCGGGAGGTGACCAAGGAGGAGTACAAGGACATCCTGCGCAAAGCCGTGCAAAAGGTAGGCTGCAGGCAGGCTGGCAGGCACACATACTTGCATATTGGGGACCTGAGGTCGACAGCATCTCGTCCACACGGCGTGGCCAGCAGTCCCCATGTGGGGTAGGTTGCTGCCATTCCTATAGATACAGACTCCAAAGGACCTGAGTGCACTAGGGGGCCAGCCAGCGGCAGTGGCCAGAGGTCCTCCCATCTTGTGGCTGTTAAAAAGACACGTAATGGAGAGGGTGTTAGGATTGCACGGTCCACATCCAGCCTGCGGGTAAGGAAGCAGGCCGGAGAGGAGACAGGTCTCGGGCTTCCTCCTGGGACAGATGCAGGGACCCTCAGCAGCCCACATGGTGGCAGAGCAAGGGGTGGGCAGTGTAATCCTGGTGGGCCTGGTGTGGTGGGACATCAGGGTGACTTGTCCATCTTTCTCCAGATCTGTCACAGCAAGAGTGGTGAGATCAATCCTGTGAAGGTGGCCAATCTGGTGAAGGCCTACGTGGACAAGTACAGGCACATGCGCCGGCACCGGAAGGCCGAGGCCACTGAAGAACCACCCGCCCCAGGGGCTGAGGCCTGAGATGTTTATCTTGCCTCCCAGTCCGTGGCATAGAACTGGGGTACCAGCCTCCTGCCTATGGGGCTCCTGTGATGGCACCTTCACCTGTCTTGCTCAGTTTAAAACTGGACTTTTTTATATGTATATTATAGATACATTGTTTCCATTGTGTTCTAATTTATCAAAAATGGCTTATCTTTAGAAACCACTCTGTGGACTTGGTACTTGAAGGTAAAGCTTTTGCAGGGAAGGAGCCTCCCAGCCTGGCTGCTGAGCAGGGCCTGAACCCATTGCCCATGGCCTCTGGCCTGCAGCCATCCTGTATGGTGGTTAGTGGTGCCCAGATTTGTGCTTCTTCATGACTCGTGCTGCTGTATATAACTGTGAGGCTTGCACTCAGCCAGCCGCTGCCCAGGAGGTGGTGTGCAGAGGTTGGGGCTGAGAGGCTGGGGCTGGCAGGGGCACGAAGTACAGGATACCCCCCGGGGGGGTGCCTGGTGGGAGTAGCTTCCTCCCGTCTGTGCCATTGAGTAACCTGCTCTCTAAAAGTGTGGTGTTCATCTCTTCGGGAGGACAGAGGGTGGCCTGCAGTATGCTTTGTGGGGTCACCTCCCTCCCTGGTGGGGCCCCAGCAGGTCCTGTAGGGAGGTGAAGAGCAGACCACCTGAGCCATGGCAACACTGGCTTTTTATTGGGGATAGAGGTTCTGGCTTAGGCTGGCTGCTCCAGCTCCATAAGGAAGTGCTCGATGTCATCATAGAGGCTGCTGGTGCTTGACAGGCACAGGCTCAGGCTGCTGCTGTCTAGGGAAGACGTGCCCTCGCGTTGCACAACCTCCAGGTATACCCGGCACAGCCTCGGCTCCACCTGCAAGGAGAATGTCAGGGCATCCCAGGGCCACACAGGCTCCCACCCAGGCTGCCTGCCTCACCTTCACCAAGACCAGGCTCTTTTCCTTGGGCCTCCCAGCTGACAGGTCCTGCCCGAAGCCCAGGTAGATTGTGTAGTAGGGTGAGCCTTGGCGCCGCTTGGCTTGGAACTCCCCCAGTTCTGTGGGAGGGGCTGAGTGAGCAGGGGGTGTGGGACAGGGTCCCAGGACCCTTGGGGCAGCTCCTCGGCAGGCCTCACAGACCTCGGAAGAAGGTGCTGAAGTCGAAGATGGGGGTGTTGCAGTTGCGCTCCAGCAGCCGGGCTGGGGTGGAGGGGCTGGCGAAACCCAGTGGGCTGCCCAACTCCCAGTACACCTTGCACTTGCCCATACGCCTGGCCCACAGTGCCACACCACGCAGCTCCAGCTGCAGCCCTGGGGCCACGTGCTGTAGCAGCTCCTCGGTGTAGCGCAGTTGTTTCTGGTCTGGTAGCTCAGCAGGACTGGGAAAGACAACCTGCTGAGGCTGTAGGGCCTGGTTGTCTGGGCCCGAGGGGCTATACAGGAACACACAGCTGGGGTGTCCCACCATAGCCTGCAGCACTGTGCGCCCTTTGTACATGATGGTCACATCCAGAACCCCTGAGCTGGACTCCGTTGCTAGGGCTGGGGGCTGAGGTCTAGGGCAAGGCACAGGCTCCACTGCCCATTGTGCGGGTGCCTCCTCAAGCTGCACTGGGCCTGTAGTGACAGGAGGGACACTTGAACTGCCCCACTGCGGCCCACGTGGATCCTGCGGGATCACTCCCTCCTGGTTCCCCAGCCCCCTGGTGCAAGGGTCAGTCCTGATACAGGTCTTGCCTGCCTCTCCCACCCAGCCACCCACAGAGCACAGCCCCTGCTCAAGAATGGCCCCTCACCAGGAGCCTGTGGTAGGGTGACTGAGTCTGCCACCACCAGCGAAGCTTCCAGCAGGGGGTCCCCCACGAAACTCTGCTGCAGAACCTGGAGTAAGAGGTCCCTTTCACCGCCAGCCTGGGTGGGCAGAGGGCATGGGGCTCTGAGCTCAGCATCTCTTGGCAGAAGCAGCCCTAAGCCCCCATCCTGTAATAGGAAGACAGTGTGAACAGCCCCCAACCCTGCCACTCAGGGAGAACAGAGATACTACCTGTGTGGGCAGGGCACTTCTGAGGGCCTCTTCTTCCTGGTTCGTGGCTGGGCATTCTAAGAGAGGGAAAGGGGCAGCTTGAGGAGCTGAGGCCTAGACCAACATTTGGCCTCCTTGTCCCCCCCATGTCCCAGTAACCTAGCACCTGAGCAGCTCAGGGCTGCAGCAGCCTCCTGGGCGGGTCCTAGACCCTAATTGAAGATAGGGCAGAGCTTTGGGCCCTAGCTCCCCTCCTCTGTACTGGTCTCTAGTGCCCAGGTTCCCGCGGAGCCCGCTGACTCACAGCCTTTCCCTCTGCAGCCTTCCGCGGGCGTTCCTCACCTCTGCACCCCTTCTCCAGGCTGCGCGCATACACCTTGTGTGGGTCAATGGGGTCCCCTGAGTTGTCCCGTAGCAACACGAAGAGCTGCGTGCTATGCAGCGCACAGCGGAAGTTGGTTTTCCAGCCAGCTCGTTCCGCAGCCTCAGCCTCTGGGGGCGGTGGGCCACCCCCACTGCTGCTGGGTGGCCACCTGCCTCGGGCCACTGCCCAGGCCTGGGGAGGGGAAATGGAGAGCGTGGGCCGGAGGTAGGAAGTTAGGCAGGGCCTCGGGGAGGGGCTGATTCCCACCTTGAAGATGCGCGCATCCGCCTCGCCCAGGTCCTTGCGGGCGAAGTGCTTCCACGGCACGCGGAAGACAGTGCGCGCCTCGTCCAGCCACCGCAGCCCCTCGTAGCGGCCGCTGCTGACCTCTCCCAGAAGCCACTCTCCGAACCGCACGCGCTGCGCTGCCCTGCGGGCGGGTGGCCACGCTG